GATGTAAAATTTCTCCTTAAACAAATAATAAAATTAAAATTCTTTTTCTTTTTCTTGTCTTTAGACACCTGGTCTTAAACGTAAAACACGTTATAGTGAACATCCACTAATAGAAAGTTCAGTTGGTTGAGTTTTTGATTCATGTGGTCATCCAACTACAAAACAAAGAAGCAATACAGTGACTAGTACTACGTAAGATTTTTCAAAATTCTTTGCATTCATTTCAAGCAAACACTCTCAGAAAGATTTCAGATGGGGATGAAAAGGTTAGAAATACAGTATTTTTGACCTTTTTTTTCTTAATGAGTCTTTGATTTGTTCTACTACCCATTTCAAAATATAATGTGCCTCACTGCTTTTTTTTTTGAAAAACTTTTGATAGGAACATCATAGAGATCTTCGGTTTTCACCATTCAAGAGAGAAGATCCAGAATCTTCGAAAATCCTCGCCAAGAACTTATCCAATTAGCCAATGAAATATTGATATTTAAAAAACAGTAGAGCATACCTTATTTTGAAATGGATAGTAGTTATTATTGTTAAGAAAAGAAGTCAAAAATACTGCGTTTCTAAACGTTTTGCTTTCACTTTACTTATTACAGATGATAAGATCATTTTTCTCATCGTTAAATATGGGTAAGATAAATGGATATAATAAAAAATAACTTGTGTTGCTTTATCATTGTTTTTTGACGAATTTTCTTATATTTTTTGTTCCTAATACAAACAATTAAATGTTAATTATTATTAGTATAAAAATGAGTCTTTTTTTCTTATTTAGAACTCGACAACAAGATTTCTATGATCAATATTCATCATCATATAATGATTCACATTATTGACATGGAAATAATTCAAATTCATATGATTTTTATGGTTCAACACCGGTGAAAATTCCTCAATTTCAACATCCATCTCATATACTTTTACAACAAAATGGTTTCACTCAACAAGTTTATCTTAAATATAGATAAGAATGTCTTGGTGGTAAAAAAAAAACGTTGATTGTAGAGAAAAAAAAAGATTAGTAGTTCAGTACATATTTACAATATTTCGAGTGAAACAAGCTACTGGTAAAAAAAGGATTGAAATTATATTGCATTGAACGGAAAAAAAGCTGAGTCTTTTAATGACTAAAGAAGAGTCGAGTATATCGAGAAACAATAGCGAAAACTACTCTCCGGTAAAAATCATAGTCTAGAAAGACTTATATTCTTATTTACATGACTTTGATTTTGGTAATTTAATAACATAATTTATCTTTTGACATATTTTTGTCGTATAATCATAAATTTGAAAAGCAATAAAATAATCTTCAATGATAAAAAACACTCGGCAAACTTTATTAGTTCATGGGAAATATTTATAATCTAAAATTATGTTGATTTGTAAAGAGAATACATTTGTTTTCTTATGATCTAATTTCTAAAGCGTGCTAAACTTGGTCTTGGTC